GGGAGGATTTTATTGTGATATGGGCATCCTTATATAACTATAAAAAGTTTGGAATCCACATTTTTTTCCCTCTTGTTCTTACTGTGAAATTGCTCTTGAAATTTAGGCCCTATGCCTACATATGGAACTAACATAATGAAAGTCTACTTCTATGGATAATTTACATTGATAAAAATATGACCATGTAGATCATTGTTGCTACCACTGTTATATAATTGCAACAGATCTTGTACAACGTATGTCATGTAAGGTGTCAATAGAAAAGTTATGGTTTGCTGGTGTGATCATCCTATTTTTATGCATGCATCATTTTTGTATCTGGAGTTATGAATATCGACACTATACCTGTATTTCAAATGTTTGCTCCTGGGTAACACGCACAAGGTATTTACATCCAGTCTAGCTAGCACATTGGGAAGGGAATATTTTAGTTGATGGCCCATCAGTGAACACAATAGGCCATGGAAGAAACCTATCTTCACTTGATGAACTTTCGTGTGGACATTCTAGCTAGAATATGGGTAATAGCCCCTGCTATAAGAAAAGGAGTACCTGTGGCACCTTAGAGACTAACCAATTTATTTGAGCATGAGCTTTCGTGAGCTACAGCTCACTTCATCGGATGCATACAGAAGCATGCAAGGGCATGTGACTAGACCATGTGGTACTGAACTCCATTTAGTTTGTGGAAAAATATAGGCACAAAGACTGAGAGCTTTCCCTCCGCATGGCAGAAGCTATAAAAGGCCCTGGAAGCATCTCCGTTTTGCCTCTTTCCTGCTCTGATCTCTGGATTATGGAGTTATACTAATGGGAGCATTTTAACCAAGAGACTGAGGACCTTTCAATGATTTGGAAGCACCCAGAGACTTTACAAGCCAGCCGTTTATTTCATCACTGCTTGAAACCTGCTATAGGAACTCCTTGCTTAACGCTGTAGTTACGTTCCTGAAAAATGCCACTTTAAGCGAAACGATGTTAAGTGAATCCAATTTCGCCATAAGAATTAATGTAAATGGGGGGGCTAGGTTCTCAGGAAATGTTTTTCGCCAGACAAAAGACTATATATAGATATACACACAATATAAGTTTTAAACAATTTAATACTGTACACAGCAATGATGATTGTGAAACTCGGTTGAGGTGGTGAAGTCAGAGGGTGGAAGAGGATGGGATATTTCCCAGGGAATGCCTTTCTGCTAAATGATGAACTAGCACTCTGCTGAGGCCTCAAGATTAACACATTGCTCATGTAGCCTCACACGCTACAAGGCAGCATGAATGGAGGGAGGGGAGACAGCATGGCAGAGAGAGACAGAGACACACACCATGTGTGTGTGACAGAGAGATGTGCCATTGCCCCTTTAAGTATGCTGACCTCACTCTAAGTACATTGCCTTTTTAAGTAGATCAGCGAGTTGAGACAGCAGCTGCTGCCAGCAAGCTCCCTTTGTCCTGAGCTGTGTCATGTCCCTTCCACCCTGCTCTGTGGAGATGAGATACAGGAGTGAGGGGAGGGGGACACCCTGACACTAGCACTTCTTACACCCCCCTTGCACAGCAAGCAGGAGGCTCCAGGGCAGAGGGCAGGAGCAGCACATGGCAGTGGGGGTGGGACAGCTGAACTGCTGGCAATTGATAGCCTGCTGGGCGGCTGCCGCACAGGGAACTTCGGGGAGCTGATGGCGAGGCTGCTGGTCCACCCTGGTTCCAAGCCCCCACCAGCTAGCTGCAACGGGCTGCTCTTCGTGAGCAGTGGACAAAGCAGGCGGCTGCCAAACAAGGAGCATTGCGCAACTTTAAATGAGCATGTTCTCTAATTGATCTGCAATGTAATAACGAAACAAGGTTAACCGGGACAACTTTAAGTGAGGAGTTACTGTACAAGAACTCTGCAATTATTGTATGTATTTGATTCCTTTAATCCGTTTTAACTCTCACCTTTTTCTTATAAATAAGCCTTTAGATATTAGATACTAAAGGATTAGCAACAGCGTGATTATTGGGGAAGATCTGAGTTATATATTGATCTGGGTATGTGGCTGGTTCTTTGGGATCAGAAGAACCCTTTGAAATTGACTTTAAATAACCACTCATCATTAAATCTAGTGTCTGATTGTAGAATCCAGGGCTGGAATACCTAAGGAGGCTGCATTTCTGACTTCTTGTTAGCCAGTGCGGTGAGACAGAAATTTACTTTTGTTGCTGGTATGGTATAGCTTGTGGAAGAAACACACCAGTTTTGGGATGTCTGCCCTATTTCTCAGCAGTTTGTCTTGAATTTGGTAGTCTCAGTTGTGATCCGCTGAGGCACGGTGACAGCCTACATATGAACTTGATATTGAGTGATGGCCATTAATGAAACTAACATAATGAAAGTCTACTTCTGTGGATAATTTTCTTTAATTCTCTTTTGCTTCATTGTCCCTTTTTGTTTACTGATTTAAATCAACTAAATAAGATACTAAAACTCACAATACATAAGACCTTACTCAAAGAGCAATGCATTCACTTTTAGTATATCCAACCATAGGTTCCTTCCTTCCTTCCTCCTCTTAGTCTATCAGTGTGTGAAAAAAACATATGTTCTGTCTGGAATTTTACTATCAAACATACATGAGTCCAATCACACAGGTTCAGTTGCAGGTTCAGTTGCAGTTGTTCATTCTTGGCCAGTTTTCCCTATGTACATGGAGAAGTTGGGGGTTATTTGCAGTGATTGAGAGCCAGAATATTGTCACCCATTAAAATATCAGAACATTAAATATGAAAAAACAGCAAATGTCTTTTTACAGATCCATATGAATATTACATGGATTTAGAAGAGCCAGCATATGAGTCAGAAGTTCCAGGTTTGTAAACTATTAAAAAACCTCTCATTAAAAATTATTTGTATATGTTATATATGGTATTCAGGTTTGTAGTCTCAAGTAGTTCGGCATAATAAACAGTTTTTGGTGTATGTTGTAAATGTTAGTCTGTAATGAGGAATGGGCAAATCTGGGTGTGGCTTTGGTTTTGCAAAACAGCAGTTCTGTTTAATTTTGGTAAGTGAAAAAAATTTAGGCCACCACTGGTGAAATCTTTGCCTCACTGAAGTCAATGATAAAACTTCCTGGCTTCACTGAAGTTAATGGATTTCACTCCATGTGTTTTGGATTTTTTTAACCTGTAAGGAGTTTTCTGTGCTCACTTGTGACTCTTAAACTGGAGTAACTATAGATCCTTAGATTTTAAGGCCAGAAGGTACCATTATGATTATCTAGTTTGATCTCATGCATAACACAAGCCATACAATTTCACCCATAATTCCTGCAGCAAGCCAAATAACTTCTGATTAAACTAGAGCAGCCTTTTAAACGGACATCAAATCTTGATTTAAAGTCTATAAGAAAATCCACCACATCCCTTGGTAAATTGTTTCAGTAGTTAATTACCATCACTGATAAAAATTTGAACCTTATTTTCCCATTTGAATTTGTTTAGCTTCAGCTTTCAGCCATTGTTAAATTTAAGATCCCCCTGCTATAAGAAATCTTCTTCCTATAGAGGTAGCTACAGATTGTGATTGTTTCTCCTTAACCATCACTTTGAAAAATGAAATAGACTGAGCTTCTTTAGTCTCCCACTTTAAGGCAGGTTTTCCAGACTCCAGATCATTCTTGTAGCTCTTTCCTGAACCATTTCCAATTTGTCAGCATCCTTTTCAAAATATGGAAACCAAGACATTTCATTACAATAATGGAACACAGGGACATAGTATTCCAACGGATGCTTTATATGCAGGTAATACCACCTCTCTATTCCTAACCTATATTGCCCTCTTTATACAGCCAAGGATTGTGCTAGCCCTCTTAGTCACAGCTTTGCACTGGGAGTTTGTGTTCAATTGGTTATAAACCATGACCCCTAAATTCCTTTAGAGTTTCTGTTTTCCAGGATATACTCCCTCATTTTGTAAGTCTGACCCACAATCCATTGTTCCTCGTATTATCTTTTGCATCTGACTATATTAAATGTTCAAGTGAGTCCAGTTTACTACACAGTCCCAATCCCTTTTATTATTAATGACCTGTCCTTATTTACCACTTCACCAATCTTTGTTTAATCTGCAAACTTTATTTGTAAAGATTCTGTGTTTTCTTCCAGGTCACTGATAGATAGCACTAGGACAAGAGCAGATCCATGCCAGACTACACTAATAGTACCCCCAGCTGATGAGTCCTCATTAGTTATTTTTCAAATGTCAACCAGTTTTTAATCCATTTAGTATGTGCTAAGTTGTATTTGTTTAGTGCTATTTTTTAATCAGAATGCCATTTGACTTAGACTTCTGCAAGTCATGTAGTACTAAGTATATTGTGTCAACACAGTTATCTTTATCAACCAAACATGTTCTCATCTAAAAAATATATAGTTTGCAAAACAATATCAAGTTCATAATTCTATCTTCCCTTTCATCTTGAAATAATTCTTACCCTGTTTCTGAGACCACAAGGAAAATGAAAAATAATAGCATACATTTTTTAAGATCATGTATAGTATATGTAGAAACATTATTTTGATTAAATGCAAAAATCTGTTGCCTTAATTCTTGGAATACTATTTGCTTTATAGCTGTAAATACAACTCCCTAGGCCCCAATCCTGCAAATACACACGTGCTTCATTTGACTTATGGAAATAGTCCCACCAAAGACAACGAGACTACCCACATGCTTAAAGTTAAGCACGTGTATAAATGTTTCCAAGACTGGGGATTCCTATTGTAGATTGTGGATGTATGGTTTTATAAAACAGTATTCAGTCGTTAAACATAATGTTGCATGATTACAAATACTATTAGTATTAGTATCTGGAATATAATTGGAGTAGAGCTAAATGTTTACTCTCGGGGTATTTTGGTTACTGCTGTGTTCCATGGCTATTTTATGACTGATTAATCTAAACAAAGCAAGTAAATATATCTTTCTTTTTAGATAACACTGAGTTAGCACAGGAAGATGCTCTTGAACATCATGGAGGTACTGTAAAAGAAAACTTTTTCCTTTTCATACCATGTGGTTAAAAAGCTACATTTCAGTTGGGGGGGGAGAGGGTGCCTTTCTTCCTACAATTTAAGGACTTCATCAACTTTTTGATGATGCCTTACATTTATATTATAGTTTCCATCCTGCGGGATTCCAAAGCACTTTATAAACCTAACTTGTATGTGATGTAAAACAATGCAGCTGCCCCTGTAATGGGGCCACATGAGTGGAACACTATCTTGCTCAGAACATGCATGTGGGAAAGACAGAAACTTAATTAGCTTAAGTAGCAGGCAACAACTTTATTAACTTAATACTGGGTAAGGGCAATATCTACCCATTGGTAGGGCCCTACCAAATTCACACAGCCTCCAGCATGTAACTTGATCCCAGCTACACAGTAGTGAATACCACTAGCTACCTATTCATGAATTACCCTGCAGAAGAACACCAGCAGATTCTCTAGTCCCAGACTTTCGCCCAGAAATGTGCATATCTTATTGCCCAGCACTCTACTGGACAATGCAAGCTCATAGAAAGTTTCATTTCATCAAAGGAAAATGACATGCACTGGTTTTGTTATCCTATATGTGAATCACTGGAATTTACAAAGCCTGAATTTGGTGCCTAGGCTTCCTATATAATGAATGTGGAGAGACAGGCCCCTCAGAATGGGATTCACAAAAGTCAGTACTCTAGTCAGCTTCTCACCTAACGTAGCCAAAGAAAGATTCCAAGCTGAGATGTGTGCTAAGCTCCTCCCTCTATGTGCCTAAATCTGCGCTACAGGAAGGCACCTCTATCCTCTTGGGAAACCCTCTCTTGGTGTTAGGTGGTTATGCTATTTTAGTGAGAAGGTGGGGTGACAGTGTCCACACTAGGCTAGAGATGAAAAAGAGAGCATGAGAATGACACTGTAGCATGATGTTTGGAGCACTCACCTGGGAAGTGGAAGGCGCAGGATCCAGTCCCTCTGCTCCAATTAATTTTTTTTTCTTTAATTATTTCTCCACAGGGGTGGATAAACGGCTTCAACAGGAAAAACTGGGGAAGCCCCCACATCAGAATATCCCATAGTCAAGAGGCTATGGCACTTACTTGAGAGGTGGCAGATCCCAGTTCAAATCTCTTCTCCCTGCAGGTGAAGAAGGGACTTGAACCAGGGTCTCCCACATCCCAGGAGAGTACTGTAACCACTGAGCTAAAAGTTATGAGGAAGAGCTTCCTCCCCTCCCCTTCCCACAGCATTTTGTGTAAGCTTCTCTATGTGGGCCCAATCCAGTAGGTGAGTTTTCAGCATGCATACCAGATTGGGCACTGCAAGTAAGTTAGTCAGAGGAATGCCTATATTTTCTTGGTTCAGGCATTGCTGTGGAGTTTAGGTGCCTGGACTCATGACATGGGTTGCAATGTGCATGCTCACAGGGAGAAACATAGGCACTTAGGGAAATTTTACTGCAAACACTTAAATGCTAAGTGAGTTTAGGCTCCTGCAGGGTCCCAGGGATAGCTGAGCGGGGATTTGTGAATCCTGTTGGTGCCTGATTCTGGGATTTAGGCACCTGAGGTGGCAGTTAGGCATATAAGTCCTTTTGTGAATCTTGTTCTAAATCGTTAGGGGTATTCAATTTTTAGAATAACATGTTAATTTGTTTGCATTTAAATTGAGCTTTTCTTTTAGTACTTACTGATATTGCGTAAATTTGAAATAAATACTCAGTGCCCATCTAATGTACTGGGTACCTTTCCAAAATTTTGAAATTCACATCATCAGCAACACATTAAACCTCAGTATAATAAATAGCCAATTCTTAAAGTTCTAATTGCCATTGCCCAACAGCAAAATAATAATAAAGCCTTTTAGTCAGTTAGCCTCTTTCCTCTCCAAAGACTTCAAAGAAGAAATAGCCCTTGAATTATGTACAAAGGTAGCAAATTTGGCTTGAACAAATAATTGTATAAAACTATCCTGTATATCAGTGATAATTGTCGTGAGTATTTATCTCTGTTTGGGTCAATGTGCTGAAATCTAACTTTGATCTCATCTGGTTGAATGGAAAAATACTTTTTGAACTTTCACTTTGTCAAAATTCTCTTGATTAAAATTTTTAATGAGACATTTATGGGTCCGGTTATATAGTTGTTCCATGTGTGGAATTCCCATTGATTTCAATAAAGGCTCTGTGTGTATGTGGAGCTGCTGCCCAGTCAGGCCCCAAAACTTTACTGGGCAAAGCACTTGAATGTGCTGCATTGACTAGATGAGCTCATTTCCAACTCTAACACCTACACTTAGCAAATGTGCTACATTTTTATGATGCTTTGCTAAATCAGACCTCAGAACTTTTGATTAATATTAATTCTTCTGTTTTTTTAGAACCAAATTATGGAGAAGGGACTGAGACCCAGGATACAGGTAGAGATCTAATACTGTTATATTGGACATGTGGGAAGATATTTCGGCTCTTAAACAAATGTCATTAAGGTGGAGTTAAAGCTGAAAATAAATACCAATTAAATCAAATACTATAATATCTTAGTTTAAATGTGATTGAGCATTATATAATTGTTAGTTAATGCTCCCCAAACAACCTTAATTTCAGCCTACAATCCAGCTATATTACAGTGTGGAATCTGGGTCATGTCAGAAAGTTACAAATACCTTCTGTGGCCTATTCAGTCAGAATATACTTTGGGTTGTGGAAAAGATAGATTATGCTCTTCAGTTAATGGTGGTTATAATGAGACATTAGTTTTGAATAATATTTTGGGGATTATCACCTCCACATATGTTTTTTTAGATAATATCCTCAAAGGATTTTCACTCTTGAGGTCTGACCCAGTGAGAGACAGGTTGGGAACTTCTCTAGCTCCAAGCTTCTTGGGGGGGCTCCCTCGGATAGTTGTGATGTGATAGTTTAGCATTGCTCCCCTCTACCTACTGGTTGTGTGCTGCCCATTGCCACTACCGTAGCCCTAGAACCTTCCGGGCCTTTGCTTATTGACTGCAGTTAGGCAAGGAGCCTACAGGACCTGCAATCAAAATCATCTGGAGCTGTCACTAGTGGCTCTGCTTTGACCCATTGATCCTGCTTTCAGTGCTGGATGTCCTTTGTTGGTGTCTCTACCTTCTTGGCAACACCAATAAGTTAAGTTCGTTTATTTTGTTTGGATGCAGTGTGTTATATTCAGGAATATGAAGCTTCTTTGAGGCCGTTGCACATGAACAGAGGTGATTGAAAAGACTCTGATTCTTTAGCTTTCAAAGGAGACAAATAAGAATAGCCACATTAAAATATATAAAATAGCGAATGTTATAGAGAAGGTAGATCAAGAGCTTCTGTTTTCTCCTTGTTCTTATTTTCTGTCTCAGAACATAAGAAAAAGGAGACCGTCAATTAGATTAAAAGGTGGCAAACTCCTAAAAGGAGTTTTTTTCCCTCACAACATATATAATCAAGTTGTGGAACTCATTGCCACAGAATGTCCTCAAAGCCAAAAATTTAGCAAGTTTCAAAGAGACTGGTGTTTATATGGATAACAGGAATACAGACAGTTAAAGCAGTTAATCAAAACAAATTTTGGAAGAGTTTCTAAGCCTCATGCCTCAAGCTTTAAGCCATGTTAAGTTATGTCAGTGTACAGCAGGGATGGGCAAACTACAGCCCGTGGGCTGTATCCGGCTGCCAGCTGTTTTAATCCAGCCCTCGAGCTCCCACTGGAGAGCAGGGTCTTGGGCTTGCCCTACTCTGGTGCTCCAGCCAGGGAGCAGGGTAGGGGGCTGCTCCACGCGGCTCAAAAGCAGCAGCATGTCCCTCCTCTGGCCGCTATGCGTAGGGGCAGCCAGGGGGCTCCGCTTTGCACACCGCCCCAAGCACCCACCCCGCAGCTCCCATTGGCCAGGAACCGCAGCCAATGGGAGCTGCAGGGGCAGCGCCTGCAGACAGGGCAGCATGCAGCAGAGCTGCCTGGCCATGCCTCCATGTAGGAGCCGGAGTGGGAACATGCTGCTTCCAGGAGCTGCTTGAGGAAAGCACCACCGGGAGCCTGCACCCCCAAGCCACCTCTTCCTGCTCTCCGAACCCCTCGGTCCCAGCCCAGACTACCCTCCTGCTCTTTGAACCCCTCATCCTCAGCCCAGCTCCAGAGCCTGTACCCTCAGCCGGAGCGCCCCTTGCCCTGGCCCAGCCCGGAGCCCTTTCCCACACCCTGAACTCCTCATTTCTAGCCCCACTCCAGAACCCGTGCTCCCAGCCAGAACCCTCACCCCCTTCCACACTCTAACTTTGTGAGCATTCATAGCCTGCCATACAATTTCTATACCAAGATGTGGCCCCTGGGCCAAAAAGTTTGCCCACCCCTGGTGTACAGGCACCGCTGTAATTAAACCACAGTTGTGTGTCCACATTATGCTCCTGATGTCGGTGGAGCTCATCCACCGTAGCAGCTCTTGCATCGACACACAGAACAGTATACCATGGGTAGCTGTCCCACTGTGGAACTGGCCGCAGCATGTTTTGGGAAGGATTTGCAATGCCTCATGTGGGCAGGTTCAGCGTCATATGATGCAGGTTTCCCAATCCCATCGTTCATAGATTCACAGATATTTAGGTCAGAAGGGACCATTATTATCATCTAGTCTGACCTCCTGCACAACGCAGAGCACAGAATTTCACCCACCACTCCTGCAAAAAACCTCACACCTATATCTGTGCTATTGAAGTCCTCAAATCGTAGTTTAAAGACTTCAAGGAGCAGAGAATCCTCCGGCAAGTGACCCTGCCCCATGCTACAGAGGAAGGCGAAAAACTTCCAGGGCCTCTTCCAGTCTGCCCTGGAGGAAAATTCCTTCCCGACCCCAAATATGGCGATCAGCTAAACCCTGAGCATATGGGCAAGATTCATCAGCCAGATACTACAGAAAATTCTTTCCTGGGTAACTCGGATCCCACCCTATCTAATATCCCATCACAGACCATTGGGCCTATTTACCATGAATATTTAATTACCAAAACCATGTTATCCCATCATACCATCTCCTCCATAAACTTATCGAGTTTAATCTTAAAGCCAGATAGATCTTTTGCCCCCACTGCAAAAGGCATGGGCATCCTACTAGATTACCAGCTGCTTTTCAACTGCCATGGTAACCTCCAGCCCAGCCATCTCTGTCAGAAAGCATGGATCCTGCGCTGCTATTTAGTATTGTGCTGTGCATTCTGAACCCAAGGAGGAGCTCCGTGGGAGAGGAGTGCTGTGTGGCTGAAGGAGGCCTTGAAGCAGCATTTTAACACTGAGCCACAGTAATGGGTGCTGCTGTAGTGTGTTGAGCCTGGCATTGTTTCTCGCGCTGTGCTATGAACCTTGTAATGATTGCTATGTGTGCCCAAAAAGTAACGCATTTTAAATCACTTTGGAAAGTAGCACTTGGTAATGTGACCAAACTGACATTGCTGAACAATAACACAAGAAGCCCACAGAAGTGGGGGGGTAGAGCAGGGAGAGGAGTGTGTGAGAGGAACTGTGTGTGTGTGTGTCTGTGAGAAAGACAGACACACACACACACAATGTGTGTTGGGGGAGGGGGGTGAAAGAGTCTGTGTGTCAGCATGGTGTGTCTCTTAAGACAGGGGACTCAGCCATGCAGTCTGCCTGCTGCTGCAGCCCTAGTGTTGCAGAGAGCAGGATTCCCCCAACACTATGTTTGGCTGTCATTGTGTTTTAAACTCCCATGAGTAGAGTGCTTGGGTCCTGCTGCAACCTTGGAAGATACCTGGATCGGGGGGCTGTAGGGAGAGTCTTATGATTCTCTCCCCCTGCCTCCCTACAGTGATTTCTCCCCACAGACCCCGCCTCAGACCCACAGCCTCAGTAGAAGCAGCACCTCCCCTGTAGTACAGAAAAAAGCGCATTTGCGAGGTGCAGCCAGCTTGGCAGATGCTACGTGAGCTCTCCAGCTGAGCAAACAGGAAGAGCAATTTCAAAACTTCCTGGGGCTTTAAAAAGGGAGGGGTGCATAGCTGTGTAGCTGGCTGCAGGAGAGTAGAGTTCAAAATAGTGACCAGAGTGGTAACGGTGGGCATTGTGGTATACCTGCTTGAGGTCAGTTATGGCAATGTAAGGAATTCAGTGTTTACACTGGTGCTGCGTCATGTCGCAATGCCTCTCATCAGGATGGTTTTATTATGTTTACATATCAGGCGAGTTAAATCAGCAGGAGGAGCATTGTAGTGTGTAGACCTCTACTGTTTTGTCGACAAAAGCTGCCTTTTGTCAGAAAAACTGTGTTGTGTAGACAAGGCCTAACTATAAAGGGATTCAGAGGCAACGTGATGTTAGAGACAGATGATCCCACAGCTGCCTAATGCAAGATATCTTGCACCTTCTGAAGCTTCTGGTGCTGGCACAGGAGACTGAATATGGGATTAGAATATGGACCACTGGTCTGATCCACTAGGGCAATTCTTACCTACCTATAAAAGTAATAGGAAAAAACAATAGACAGAATTAAGGGGGAAAAGAATTGGTTCACGGGTAGAGCAAGACAGCTCCAGAGAAGAGAAAAAGAGTAATAGTGGAAAAAAGTAAAGAGCAAAGTTAACAACATTTAGGTTAGTAACCCTAATACGTTTATGCTGGATTTTATTTTACAGAAAAACCTATTAGTCCGTGTTTTTTGTATGACTGCACTTGTGTAAATAACTGTAAGATAAAATTATAACCCCTTAGTGTATGCAGAATTGGAGACTGGAAAAACAGAAGAAACTGCAGGTAAACTACTTTGGGATAGTAACCTTTAAATATAAGTAAATCTCCTCAACATCAAAATAAAGAGAAAACAACCCCAACTGCCACCCTATTTCTGCGAGAGGCAAAGGAGATTGATTGATTTTTTTTTTTTTAACTGCTGCACAGGTAACTTAAAATTCCCTATCTGAAAAATTTATTATTTTTCAAGTAACATCTAAAGTTGCTATAGGTGAAAGATTAGAGAGAGTAGTTAATTTTTCTCTTTGTATCAAAAAATTGTTTTTGGTTCATTTACAAGAACCTGTATATAGGTAGCTTCACTGTTCTGCCCGCCTAATCAATTGTTTCCCCCTATTTGTGTAGAGTGGGAGAAAGAGAACCATTTTAAAAAGTAGGAAAATGTGATTTTTGAATCTATGAAATTTGGCAGGGAGATTCCAGGACGTGTAATATCTGAAACTACTTTTCATAGAATCATAGAATATAAGGGTTGGAAGGGACCCCAGAAGGTCATCTAGTCCAACCCCCTGCTCGAAGCAGGACCAATTCCCAGTTAAATCATCCCAGCCAGGGCTTTGTCAAGCCTGACCTTAAAAACCTCTAAGGAAGGAGATTCTACCACCTCCCTAGGTAACGCATTCCAGTGTTTCACCACCCTCTTAGTGAAAAAGTTTTTCCTAATATCCAATCTAAACCTCCCCCACTGCAGCTTGAGACCATTAGTCCTCGTTCTGTCATCTGCTACCATTGAGAACAGTCTAGAGCCATCCTCTTTGGAACCCCCTTTCAGGTAGTTGAAAGCAGCTATCAAATCCCCCTCATTCTTCTCTTCTGCAGGCTAAACAATCCCAGCTCCCTCAGCCTCTCCTCATAAGTCATGTGTTCCAGACCCCTAATCATTTTTGTTGCCCTTCGCTGGACTCTCTCCAATTTATCCACATCCTTCTTGAAGTGTGGGACCCAAAACTGGACACAGTACTCCAGATGAGGCCTCACCAATGTCGAATAGAGGGGAACGATCACGTCCCTCGATCTGCTCGCTATGCCCCTACTTATACATCCCAAAATGCCATTGGCCTTCTTGGCAACAAGGGCACACTGCTGACTCATATCCAGCTTCTCGTCCACTGTCACCCCTAGGTCCTTTTCCGCAGAACTGCTGCCTAGCCATTCGGTCCCTAGTCTGTAGCTGTGCATTGGGTTCTTCCGTCCTAAGTGCAGGACCCTGCACTTATCCTTATTGAACCTCATCAGATTTCTTTTGGCCCAATCCTCCAATTTGTCTAGGTCCTTCTGTATCCTATCCCTCCCCTCCAGCGTATCTACTACTCCTCCCAGTTTAGTATCATCCGCAAATTTGCTGAGAGTGCAATCCACACCATCCTCCAGATCATTTATGAAGATATTGAACAAAACCGGCCCCAGGACCGACCCTTGGGGCACTCCACTTAATACCGGCTGCCAACTAGACATGGAGCCATTGATAACTACCCGTTGAGCCCGACAATCTAGCCAGCTTTCTATCCACCTTGTAGTGCATTCTTCCAGCCCATACTTCCTTAACTTGCTGACAAGAATACTGTGGGAGACCGTGTCAAAAGCTTTGCTAAAGTCAAGAAACAATACATCCACTGCTTTCCCTTCATCCACAGAACCAGTAATCTCATCATAGAAGGCAATTAGATTAGTCAGGCATGACCTTCCCTTGGTGAATCCATGCTGGCTGTTCCTGATCACTTTCCTCTCATGCAAGTGCTTCAGGATTGATTCTTTGAGGACCTGCTCCATGATTTTTCCAGGGACTGAGGTGAGGCTGACTGGCCTGTAGTTCCCAGGATCCTCCTTCTTCCCTTTTTTAAAGATTGGCACTACATTAGCCTTTTTCCAGTCATCTGGGACTTCCCCCGTTCGCCACGAGTTTTCAAAGATAATGGCCAATGGCTCTGCAATCACAGCCGCCAATTCCTTCAGCACTCTCGGATGCAACTTGTCCGGCCCCATGGACTTGTGCACATCCAGCTTTTCTAAATAGTCCCTAACCACCTCTATCTCCACAGAGGGCTGGCCATCTCTTCCCCATTTTGCGATGCCCAGCGCAGCAGTCTGGGAGCTGACCTTGTTAGTGAAAACAGAGGCAAAAAAAGCATTGAGTACATTAGCTTTTTTAACACATTGAAATTGACAGGATTTCAAGCTAGCATCCCCTTGTAAATTAGATTGTAAATAACAACTTGCTTATGAAGTCTGCATTTGTTTAGTAAAGGTAATTTTAAAGAATGTTGTTCTCATGTATCATTTGAATGTATCCCCATTTCAGGTAAAGAGCCTGTAAATGAAGACTACTACGAAGAAAGCATACAAGGTGAAAATAAATACATTTGTTAGTTGTTTACATTACATTAATTATGCAACAATGTTTTATTATATTATATTTATTATAGTGTATTATTTTTAGGATTTCATACACAGAAGGTTCCTAAATGTTATGAAAATTGGGGCCCACATCATATTGGCATGGTCACTTTCTCAGTCCTTGTCAGGAATTTTAGCCTCCTTAAAACGAAGCATGATTTAAATTAAGCCCCACTGTGGTAGACTAAGTCTACTGTTCTGGGTAATGGAAGCCTGTTCTAGATGATGATTTGTTTGTGGTTATCTTTCAACAAAATCATGTACTTGTTTCCATTTTTATAGAGTAATTAGAAATTTCTTAATATTGTAGAACATTATTCCTTCCTTAAAAGAACCTTTTTTTAGGCATTTCACATTTTATAAATGTTCTCTTGACGCTTAGCAATGATGTTGGCCCAAAAGAATAAGTTTGAAGCTAAGAAATGTTGTTCCCAACAGAACCAGCTGCTGATGCTGAAAAGAAAGATGAAAGTGAGTATAAGCTGTTCTCATCTCTCTGAAAGGAGGGCTTAAAGTTTATTTTTCTAAAGTTACTCTATCTTAATACAACTTTAAGACACTTGTTAAAACATGTACTTGACTGAGATTTTTCCTGTTGCATACAGTAGTTTTAAACAGCTAATTTCCTTTGGAGTGTAAAATTTAAAAAATATAAAAGCAGGTTTTCTTTCCCCCCAGGTTATAACAAAATGTTTATTAATATTTTTACTGCTTACTGCCTCTTGTGAATCTCAGATACTGAATGTGGTATCTGAACTCCACGGTTGTCCAAATCTATTTGTGGTCTTGTTGTTCCTTAACCTTTTTATACTTCAGTTTCTTCAGTATCTTTGGACTTGACTAAATTAGGTTCTGCTTCTGCATGTTGTTTCTTTAACTCCTGTGTAAGCAATGGAAACAGAAAGTACTCAGAGCCTTGCAGGAACAGACCAGTTCACTCCAATAGGACTTACTCGCATGCCTAAAGTTGCTCATCGGAGTATCTGTTTGCAGAATTGGGGCCTTAGGCTTTGTCTGTCATGAGGGTTTCCCCTGAATTCAGCTATTGATGGGCAGTGACTAGAGTAGCTGAACCAATCAAGCCTCCAGGGGTAGAAAAGATAAAATGATGTACAGTAAGTCACAATTTTCACTGGTGCCGCATACCTGGTTCAAGTAAGACTAAGCTCGACTGGTGCAAATAGTCTCTGTGTGTCAAAGGGTGACCACCACCTGCCCCCGCCTCAGGGTGGCCCTGCAATCCCCCTGCCTCGATTTCCCTCTTCCATGCACTGGCTGTTCCCCCTCTTCCGAAAGGCCCATCATCCTCCCCCATTCTCCACCATATTTGATAAGATGGCTCCTGCCTGGGGTGCTCTCCAGTTGCAGGTCACAGTATGATAGACCTGTCTGCCTCAATTTCCCCTTTCTCCCAGAGTCCCTAATAACTCCATACATATTGTCCACATGTAAATAGCCCTTTGCAGGGTTAATTTATTACAAAAGTTCCACAACAAAAGACCAATATTCCCCACCACAGTATGTGAAATATTTCAAGTCCCACTAATCCATGAACCCTGGCAACTTTCATCATGCTCCTGCTCTCTGGCATTCGCTGGTAAAGTATAAATTGAGCCTTAGTTTGTCTTAGTAAACATGTCCACTAACTTTAGTGCAGCTAAAATTGAAAAATCAAACACATAAGTCAGGAAATCAAAAAGTGTTGGCTCCTATAGCAATGTTAACTCTGCCATGTAGTACAGTTTCTATACAACACAGTTGTTACTAATGGTTTTGGGAAACTTCTAACATTTTGACATTTTCTTATTTGAAATTGACTTAAATTTTTTCATCTGGAACGCACGCTTAGAGGATGGATGGTCCACTGGTTGAGGTGCTTGCTTGGGAGTCGGACACAAACTTCACAGAATTTTCCTTATCTCAGTTCTTTTCCTGTGAGGTTTTCCATGGGAGGGGTAATATGAGCCTTAGAAATTAGCCTTCGCTTTGTTTTGTTGAAAGTTTAACAAGTGTAGAACTTACTTTAGGTATTGCTACAAATATGCTGTCTTCTTAGCTGCAGGGGCGCTTCCAGAACCAGTAAATGAAGATACAGAGCCAGGTATATGTTTTCTAAGTATAATCTTAAATGTCTGCTATATGCATTTTTTTGAAGTATTTGACCCTAAAACAGCTAATTTTTTTTGTTTTATTTTTGTAAACCTTGAACTCTAGGTGAAATTCCTGAGGACGTGGAAATTAATAAAAAGCAATCAGGTATGAATATTTGTTTTGTAAAAGTATTTATTTTCATATTCAAATTGCCATATCTGTCAGTTAAATGTAAAACAAAGGGATATAATTAATTAATGTTTCCTACACTGGATTACAAGAAATATTGAGGTTTTAGATCTCCCAATAGAAAATGTTAATTTTGCCCACTGACACATCAACTGTTAAATAAATGTTTTAATTACTTGCAGAAAGTATTTGCATTTGATTTAAGAAATTGAATGTATGGACTCTTAATTCTGAAAGCAGTGTTGTTGTCGCCATGTTGGTCCCAGAATATTAGAGACACAAGTTGGGTGAGGTAATATCTTTTATTGGGCCAACGTCTGTTGGTGAGAGACAGAGAAGCTTTAAGTTGGTCCAGTAAAAGATATTACCTCCCCAATCTTCTCTCTTTATTTTGACGACTATTTGAAAAGATTTAAGTTTTGAAAACCTTTAAATTTGTGGCTTTGGTGTTGCTAGCTACTTTCTTGTTGGGCCGAACTTAATACAAAAGCAACTTAATATGTCAGCTCACTGTGAGAAAAATCTTACAAGCCTTACTCTGTCTTTGCTCAGTCAGTGCTTCCAGTGAACTAGATGGGAGTTTTTCCTGAGTAATGCCTACAGGATTTGATCTTATATTAATGTAGTTTTTTTTCTTATGAAAATGTTTTAGTTTAATGAACTTAAAAAACCTTGCTCTAATACAACTAACTGAAAGTGTATATTACTGTTGGTATTTCAGATTACAATTATTTTAACTTTTAATACATAGCAGTTTTACTGAAAATGAGATACTTATTGTAGTGAAGAGGCATTAAAAACTATTGCACATAACAGATTTTAATAAGTAATATCTAGTGTCACATCCGTACCCATCTGTTGAGTCTGCAGTTAGTCTGATAAGCAAACTCATGCACACAATACTGTAAGTGTATCATACACCTTAATTTTCTTTGTAACAGAGGAAAAAGAACATACAGAAGACACTGTTGCTGTTGAACCTCAGGAAACAGGTTTGTGTAGTAACTCTTCTCAATACATCTCTGAACTCCTAATTGTTTTTAGCAAATATTTCTATTATGAAACTCAAGAACTGTGACTGCTGTGAAATGGAATCCTGTCCTGTAATTAGGAAGTTATGAACTAAATTCTTTTTTCTGTTTCCAGATTTGTTCTGCAAAGGTTAACAGTGTTAAAGTGCATACTATTTTTGAAGCTTTTAGTGTGGTCATTTTTGTAATAACACCTTTGCTGTAATAAATGTTATCAAACAGTGAGGCTGAGTGACGAGGTATATATTTTTGGCTTTAAATACAAAAGGACATAAGAATAGTCATACTTGGTCAGACCACTGATCCATCTGGCCCAGTATCCTGTCTTCGTACAGTGGCCTATGCCAGATGCTTCAGAGGGAATGAATAGAACAGGGCAATTGAGTGATCCATTCCCTATCGTCCAGTCCCAGCTTTTGGCAATAAAATACAGTAATACAATTTTAAATTTAAATGTGTGTAAATAAAGTAAAAAGCATACATGCTGAAAAAGTGTACACGCACATTTCAAAAGGTGTGTGTAATGGGCCCAGTGTCCCCATTACAGACCCCTAGCAAAAGCCCCCTTCTCCCCACACGCTCTAAAAATAATCTGTTCAGAAAGTTATTTTGAAAGGGTAGCATGTGTTAATGAAATAGTTCCTAGTAAAATGACCCATACAGGATTATTTAACAGTTTTGAAAACAGACACATTATATGTAATTGCTGCAAAATTTGATTTACAGAAGTTCCTGTTGAAGCAGAGAATTACTCAAATGATGATCTAGTGGGTAAGTTAATTTTTAGAGTGTTATCTTTAATAAGATTAAACCCTTCACAGTAGTGAAATTTAGGAAGAAATTTGTGTGTGTGAGAGAGAGAGAAAAGTATAGGTGCTCAAATATTATTACTTGAATTTGCTTTCACTTTCTGAAGTAATAGTCTTATCTTGGTGTGAGTACACCCTAGGGCCATTTATTATTGAGTTAACAGGAAGTAACTTCAGAATACTATTCCAATTATTTTTAATTCAAATTTTAAATGAATAAGAAAAAAAATTGCCAAAATAAAAACAGACTGTCCAACAGATGAAGAGGTAAAAATAAAAATGTGTGCATCTGAAGAAAGCAATGCATTCTTTAGTGTAATTTTAGGTACTGGTCTGAGAGGAAGACTTTTTATGACGGGGTGGGCAAACTTTTTGGTTCAAGGGCCACATCTTGGCATAGAAATTGAATGGTGGGTCATGAATGCTCAGAAGTTGGGATGTGGGGGTGGGTGAGGGCTCTGGCTGGAGGTGCAGGCTCTGGGGTAGGGCCAGAAATGAGGAGTTCAGGGTGTGGAAGGGGGGCTCCAGGCTGGGGCAGGGTGGTGAGGTGCGGAGGGGAGGAGTGAAGGCTCTGGGGTGGGGCTAGGGATGAGGGGTTTGGAGTGTGCTCCGGGCTGGGATTGAGGGGTTCAGATGGCAGGAGGGGGGATATGGGCTGTGGGGCTAGGGCTCTGGGGTGGGGCTAGGGATGAGGGGTTTGGAGGGTGCTCCGGGCTGGGATTGAGGGGTTCAGATGGCAGGAGGGGGGAAGTGGGCTGGGGCAGGGGGGTTGAGGGCTCCAGTTGAGGGTGCAGGCTTGGACTGAGGGATTTGGAGGGCAGGAGGCGGATCAGGGTGCCGGAGGGCGCTCCAGGGGTTTGGGGTGCCGGAGGGTACTCCAGGCTTGGATTGAGGGGTTTGGAGGGCAGGAGGGGGATCAGGGATGGTGTAGCGGGTTGGGGCGTGGGTGGGGGTGGCTCGGGGGTGCAGCCTCTGGGCAGTGCTTACCTCAAGCATCTCCTGGAAGCAGTGACATGTTCGCCCTCCAGCTCCTACATGGAAGTACGGCCAGGAGGCTCTGCTATGTGCTGCCCCGTCCGCAGGTGCCACCCTGCAGCTCCCATTGGCTGTAGTTCCTGGCCAATGGGAGCTGTGGAGGCGGCGTGCGGAGTGGAACCCCCGTCTGCCCCTATGCACAGGAGCTGGAGGCAGGACATGCTGCTGCTTCCAGGAGCCGCGCAGAGCGGCCTCTGACCCTGCTCCCCATCTGGAGTGCCAGAGTGGGGCAAGCCCCAGACTGCACTCCCCAGCAGGAGCTCGGGGGCTGGATGCGGCTGGCAGGCCAGATGCGGCCCACGGGCTGTAGTTTGCTCACCCCTGTTTTATGACATGCTACTTTGAGTATTTTTGTCTTAGTCATCGGCTTACCAGACCACCACAGTACTTCCAGTTCCTCCATTCATTATCTAAACGAACAGAGTGATGCATAATGTTTGTCAGACTCCAGATGTTCAGAACTTAGTACCTTTTGAGATTTAATTCTACAGATAGATACATGGTTTTGTTCCTTTGTCACTATCCAATAAATTGAGCCCCATGCACACGCTTTCCTTAGGTCCTGCTTTCAGAGTTCAACATCAAACATTGCCAGTTTTTCTTTTAAAACAGACAACAGACAAGTTGTAAGAAGTACAGTGCAGAATTTCACATGAGCCGATGGATAGACCTTGCAGTCCAGAGGGAGATCAAATGTGCCCATCCGACTGGGCCACTCTGGGGGTCCCCAGCATAATTTTAGTCAGCCTTTTGGTTAGAGGGCCGTCTAATGTATGGCACCCTCCCTGGGCTTCCCAGAATCTCTGAAGTACTGTGTTGTGGCTCCATCCCTAGCCATGCCCTGGAATACCCCCTTCACTAGAGGTTGCCAGGCATCCTTGAAAGGCAACCTTATGGATGTCCTCCACTGTACCTGTGCTGTAGGAATCTGTCTCTGGCATGGTTCAGGACTTTTAAGGTCTATTTAGACCACTCCAGCTCTTTCATTTGGCATAAAGGGGCTGCAGCAGAGATGAACATCTGATTCACTGTCTTTATTTATTTTTTTGTCATGTTTCCTGTCTCTTCTGGGTGCAAGTCTGTTTCTTTAGTCTTTGATCAATCTAATAGAGTTTTAGACACATACTCTTCAATTTGTATCATTTAGAATTTGTCAACTTTTTGTTTGTCTTCAAGTGCAAAATATTGTCTGGGTTTATTTCCTGGTACAAGACAGAGATAAACTCATCCTTGTTCAGTTTTCAAAAAGTGCTATGGAGAGATTTTGGATGAGTTAGTCTATTGTTTAGTCTTGTTCTCATTCCTCTTTCAGTTAATTCTTCATCCTCAAACTTTTGTGTATCTTACATACTACCTGGTATCTCGGATATTTCATGTGCAGGCTATATTTCTGGTTAAAGTTTTCACTATACTACTTTTGATTGAATCATCTGTATTTTTAATTGCAATGAAATCCTATTCAGTTATCATCCAGTAAACAGGTGGTTCAGTGGTAAAATTGTTGCCTACTATACAAGATACCTGCATTTGTTTGACTTTTGGTCAATGCAGGAGTGGCTGTGGTAGTGAAAGATCCAAGAACCCCACGTTATGGCTTTTTCCAAATCTCAGTTGTGAAGTGGTTAGTATGCTAAATTACATAATGAACCTTGACTGAGGGAATCTAAAATGTTTGTAGTAGTACATAATTCCATATTGGCTATGAGGTTTATCCAACAAATGTATTGTTAATCCTGGCATGGTACATTCCACTGCTTATGACACGATATGAACATGGATATGAGATTTATCTAAAAATGCAATTTAGTTAATTGTTTAACAATAGCTGTTTTAGAAAAAGTTTATAAACTAAATAAGGTATGGCTGATAGATATCTTTGACAGTAGTAAATTCAGTAAAGATAGTATCCAGATTTGGTATGTTTTTGTTTTGAGGCTACAACCTTAGTCCAAGGAAAGATACTTGTTATCAAGGCTTATTTGTTCCATGGAAATGTTACTGCTTCCAACTTCAGTACAAATGCAATACCATATGGTAGTACACATAATGAAGAAGCTAACATTTTATGGCTCTGGTGCAACTAGTCCCATAATTTTCAAATTAGAGAATTATCCTAATTGCATAATGTTCTTCAGACTGGTACAAAATGTAGTAACATCACCATATTGTGTGATTTGCATACTGTTTTGATGCTTAATTCAAATTCCAATCATCAATTCAAAATGTTTTGGTTTTGGTAGATGCCATTGCTGTAATTTAGGATTTCTTCTGATGTGATTTTTGCCTCATAATCATGTGTCAGTGAATGTTTCCAATATTTGCTCAGAGTAATTTGGCATATGTTAAATACGAGCGTCTGATTCTCCTATCTTTCTACATGTGTAACTATGTAATCCCTACCACTGTTAATGGAAGCGTGAATGGATCATGTGGCAGAACTGGGCCCTAATTGTTTACTGTGTTCTGGTGTAAAGAGAGCCTTCAAGGCTGTTACAGATTTTCATAAACCATGTAGAGACTGGCTCAGAGGTAGTCTATGACATGAGTTTCTACCAGCATGGTAGTGTGTGTGTGTGTGGGAGGGGTCTGGTGAATCTCTGTCTGGAGAAATTGTGCCTTGCTACTGTAACCCACACACCTCCTGGGTGTGGTGTTCTGAGAGAGAGGGAGAGAGTGCTCTGCAGCCTTAGCTAACAGCCAGTTGGCTTTTGGCTCATGCACTAAGTTCCAGAGGTCCCAAATTCAATCTCACCCGCCGCCAACCAGGGTCTATCAGTGTTCAAGTGGGGGCTTGTCTGGGATTTCAACTGGGAAGTGTCTGAAGCTCGGGGTGTGCTTCCTCAGCTAGGGGATGTATGTAACCCCCACACCTACTGGGTGTGGTGCTCTGTCCTATCTAGTGGCACTGAGACCACAGAAAGAGATTAATGAGTCTGCTCTACAGCCTTAGCTAACAGCCAGTTGGCTTTTAGTTCATGCGGTAGAGGCTCATGCACTAAGTTCCAGGGATCCCGGTTCGATCCCGACTGCTGATGACTGGGGTCTGTTGGTGTTACACTACCAATACAGAAAATGCCAGTAGCTAACACAGTTTAACTGTGTGTTTGGTCACAGTAAGTACCCCTTTTTTTAAGGTAACTTTCTCTCAGTCTGTCCCTTAAAATATGAAGATATGTAACTTTCTTTTGCCAGTATTAACAAATAATTTAGTTTAGCATAGCAAACGTGTTTTAGTACCTAAGGGGGACAGAACTTCATCTCTATATTGTTTGCCTCTTTTATATTTGTATTCATTACAGTATCTGAAGTATGAAGGGTAGCTCAGATGAGAGAGTAAAAGACATTTACCAGCCTCTAATCAAGCGTAAATTGATTTGCATGTGGAGTTTTAGAAATCTCATATGGTACAAGTAAAAAGGTCCCATTGTTTAATTACTGCAGATTTCTCATAGCTCCCTTGCTGGTGATTTTAGGGTTATCCTTCCACTGTATGTTGTTTTTACATTTAATACAGCCCTTCTCAAACTGTGAGACTGGCCTTCTGGTGGATGTTGCTCCTCTTCTGGGAAACTCTGGGAAATGTAGGGGGAAGAGAATATATTTTTCTCTTTCTCCTTAGGACTTGGAATAAACTAGAGCTTGTTAAATTAACAAATTCAGTGCTAATTACTAAATATACTATCTGACTATTCAAAATAAAATGACCCACTCAACAAAGAGAAACCGGCTACACTGTTTATACATACAGTGTGTAAGAAAAGCATTAAGTTTTTTACCTTGCTCAGATGAGAAACTCTGGTAAGTGTGGAAAATCTTGATCTAATTGCACAATTCTTTTTAAGAAAATATATATTGTAAATATTGTGAGTCCTGCACTTAGGATGGAAGAATCCAATGCACCGCTACAGACTAGGGACTGAATGGCTC